GGGTGGGTGGTTGGACTAGATGACCTTTGGAGGTCACTTCCAGCCCAGACATTCTATGATTCTATTCTATGATTCTATTCTATGATTCTATTCTATGATTCTATTTCCAGTGAGAGCTGAGTTCAAGGCAGACCAGTGGACAGTGGGAAAATGGAAAGAGGAGATTTCCTAGCTGAGCAGCTGGGCCATAGTGCCTGGCTCAGGCACCAGCACCGAGGAGGCAGCTCCAGTCACAGAAAGAGGGGATGGGGAGGGAGAATGTGTAGGAAACCAAGACAATTTTGGGAACAAATAGAGGAAGCTTTCTGTAGGTCAGTGTGTAAGACTTGCTAAATAAAGCAAACTGTTCCTGGCAGTGACACGGGGGTCTGGGGGGTTTGGGCAATCTCCACTGGTGTGTGGGAAGGCCAGTCACAGTGGTCACATCGTGCCACAGCTCCAGTCCTGCAGTTCCAGCTCCCACCCCAAGCCACCTGTGCCAGCATCAGGGATGGGGCAGTGGCTGTGCTGGTCAGCCCACCAGAGCTCACAAGAACACCACAAACCAACACCCCTCATCTGCAGAGCAACGTGCACTGTGTATCTCTTGCCGTTTGTCTCCTTAATGAATTGTAGCCTATTCAGCATAACAAAACCTCAATTTAAGGCAGCTAAAAGGAGAATCTTCAGTTTCCAGGAGCTAAATCTCCATAGGTGTTATCCCCAACGACAAACAGGGAATGCAGGAGTAATGTTTTCTCTCTAGATACTGCAAAAAGAAATGGGTTAGCTGGGCAACAAGCAACATTTGGGGGAGATTGGAGGAGTTTGGCTTGTCTTCTTACTGGTGGGGAATGGAGGAGCTGGTTTTTATAAGTCTGGTTATTTAAGTAGCATTTTGTCTATGTTCTGCTCTTCATACCACACACAAGAAGAGGGAAACGTGTGTGGGGAAGATTTTCTAGCCTTGTTTTTTCATCCTGTTGAACCTGTATTTGTTTGCTAAATTGTTAACATACAGTAGAAAAGCAAAAGGTCCATGACTGAGGTATAAGTAAGGAGCTTTTTGGTGGAGGCAGTGCTCCTCCTGGAGCCACATCACCCTTGCTCCATTGCACTGGGACTGATGAACCTTCAGTGATGAGCCCAGCTTAAACTGATTTCTCCTCTTGATCATTTCCAGTTCTTCAACTGCTATAACTCTTTGTAAAATCATTTAGTGAATTGCCCCAGAGAACTGATTTGGGTAAAAACAAGTGAAACAAGCCCCTCTTCCCCTGCTTCCCCCTACAAAGGATTCTTTGCCCCATTTCTGTTTCCTGCTCTGAATCCTGTTTGGCCCCATTGTACCAGCACAACTGGGAAGGCAATATGGGATGGGAGTGAGCAGGGAGGGGGTGCCAGAGGTGGGAAGGATACGTGGTGGCTGGTCATACCACACATCCCACTATGTACTCAGGGCTTTTGAGGTGCCTTGTTGACCATCTCCACAGAGGCACGAGTTGTATTTCACTGTAAGACACTGATGTTGCAAACCCCATGCTGGAGTCCTGTAGGTAGATATTACCCATGTGATGCTTCAGTTGTTCCAGTGCCTGGACCCATGGCCCCCTCAGAAAGGTCAGCAATATGCTGTCAGGGGAGGGAGAGGAGCTTGCACACAGCAGGTAAAGAACCTCCTTGGGTTTGCTACAGAGCTTAAGACATAATTTGAGTCCATGGAAATTGTTGTTTTGGGGAGTTGTGGCCTTCTTGCCTTTTCTAACTGGCTTTTTGGAACACAGTGGTGCAAAGATGGAAGCCTGGGGCTGTCTCTTCTTGCTGGCTTCTCATGCTCCTCTGTAAGCAGAAGTGTCAGCCCTTCATTTAGCTGCTCAGTAGCTCATAAACAGTTCATACTAATGAAGTTGCAGGCCAGCCCTCTAGAGCTCTGATAAAAGCCTGTTTTCTAACGTTCACAGTAAACCACAACAGTAACAAGGAGTGTGGCGTGTAGGTTTGAGACAAATAAGCAACAAAGCAAAGTTTGTGGCAGGTTATTTTTCCTTTGAATGTCAAGTGAATAAATCTTCTCCTTTCTGTGTGTTTTGTTACAACAGATTTGCATTTTTATCGGAGAAACTCTTCTGTTTTCAAACTGGGCTATCACAGCAGACATACTAATGGTGAGTGCACTTTGGAACAGCATCTTTCTCTTCTGGTGGCCACAGCAGTCTGTCAGCTTGCAAGAACAACCTGGAGTTCATAAAATGCCCCTCCTTTAGCCTACACTTTTTTTTTTCACTTGCTGAAAAGGAAAGTGAGATAGAGGGAGAAAGAAAAAAGATTCTTCTTGTCCTTTGTTCTGAGCACCAAGGAGAGGAGATGTCCAGAAAGGAGAGCAGCACTGAATTCAGATAGCTTCTACAAATTTTAAGTATTTATGCAAAACCCCACGTGCAAAGAAATGGTCCAGCATTTCCTAATAGTCAGCACGTGAGTGGATTTTGTTATCAATAACTCAGCTTTGTTCTGCAATAGGAAATCCTTCCCTCCCTCCCTCCCTCCTCTGGCCACAAAGGCAGCCATCTACCTCTCTCCTTGGCTTCACTCCAGCAAACCTGCCATTCAACACATACACAATAGAACACCACCTCTGGGAGAGGAGAGAGGAAAAGAAAGTATAAAGAATTTTTGGACTATGTCCACCTTGTCTAAGAGGAAACTGTCAGGGACTTTTCACCTCATGTCCTTCATTTTCCATTCTTTCTCCACCACAGAGCTTTTTAAGTCTCTCAAACCAGCAAGCTGACCTCAGCAGTTAGATTTTCATATGAAATAGTCTGGACATTTTGAAGAGAGTGTGGCATGTTTTGTAGATGCCTCCATCAGAGATGTGCAGAGCCTATCAAACCTACTATATGTTGAAAACCCATTGTGAGGGAGTTTACTTGTTGCTTATTGTATTTAAAAGGAAGAAACTAGGGCACGGAACCATTACAGGACTTGCCCGAGGTCTTTTGGCAGCTTGTTGACAGAACTAAAAATACAATCAGTCTGGCATCAATAGAAAACTCCCTTGACCTGTATTTGTTGCTTCTGCAAACATCAACGAGAAAACAATCTGGCTCCATAGCCCTAGATGTAAAGATAATGGTGTTGATGTATTGATTCAGCACAGAACTTCAAGCTTCTGCTTCAGTTGTGTCCATGATCTACGTTCAAGGATGTGTTTGTGTTTTAAGGCAGCTCTGTAGCTGCCATAACTGCACTGTCTGATGAAATATCAATCTTTGGCTCCTTTGCTCAGAGAACGCCTTGGGAGGTTGAGGGGGGTGGTTAATTCCACTATTCTCAGGTGTGACTAAAGCACAGAGAAACAAAAGTTCTCAGTGTACTTCAGGAGCGTTAGATAGCTTTTAATTAATGAGTTTTGTTGCTCCTACCAGTTTAACTTTAGTGTGTCAGAGCTCAGCATGGGCTGAAGAGGGGCTTCCCCTGTACTTACAGGGGGGCTGCAGCTTGTGCTGGGTTCAGGGACACTGTGGCCATGCTTTTAGTGCTGTCTCAACACAGATGTTCAGTCTACAGAGAGCTGTGCTGAGGCAGAAAGTACAGTTCAGTATTTGTAGGTGCTCATTGCTGCCTCCTGCCAGAGCTCCCTGTCACGTCCCACCTTTGGCTGGGATGTTCCCAGGAGAACTCCCAGTTCTCTTTGGTGGGAATGAGCTGGTGGACTTGAACAGCAGATCTTCTCTCTCCTCCCTAGCACTGGCTGAAACAGGGAAGGGCTTGGCCATGGAGCACACCTGCAGCCCTCCAGCAGTGGTGGTCACCTCTGCTGCCAGCGTGGTGCAGCTGGAGGGAGGGAACCTGTCCACGTCCTCAAGGTCCTCCAGAAAATCTGTGCCAGGGAGGGAGCTGAAACTTGACCTACGTTGTCTCCAGCTCTCCCCAAAAGACATTTTTAAACCAAGTACTTTGTTCTATCAAGCGTCCTAAGGATGCCATCAGTGCCCCATTTTAATTACTGAGATTTTTCACGTGGATTTCAATGTGACTTCAGTACCCTGTAGCTTTTACAGGGTTTGCCATCTGTCTTCCCAGCATCCTGTAGTCAGCTGCATTTCATAGGAACACATTTGCAGTTGTTTGTGTTGCTTTAGTGCAGAAGAACTCCATAAGAAATGACTGGCAATATTTTGAAATCATTTCTTCATTCCAATTTCCACAATGTGGGTAAGAAACCTGATAAAAATTGGATTTGGGTACTTGATGCCAGCTCTTAAGCTGACTATTCTCTTGTCTGTTTAGAAAAATGAACTGAATGTCATATATAATGCCCAGCTTAATGCATTATCAGCACGAGTAGACCTGTGAAAGCACTCTACAATAAATGTAAACATCCCCTCAGATCAGTGCAGACCTGGAAGCAGATGGTCTGAAGTGCATTCCTATTACACGAGGGGTTTGAGGATGTTTAGTCAGACAATAGGTGAGAGCCAGGGCTATAACCCTGTTTGACAGGCAGCTGTGTAAGAAATCCTAGCCAGAGAAAGGTGTGGATGTGCTCTAGTGAGATGCACTTTAAATGTTTGGCAAATTAATTTCTGCTGATTACTATTTATTTGGTGTAATCAGAAGAGTGTCTGTTCTTGCCTGAGGCTGGTAAGGAGTTTAAAAGCATTATTAGCGTAAGCTTAACAACACTTGCATCATATACATAAATATTATCCTGTTTTCATGGATAAAAAGCTCTTAGTGCTGTCTGAACACTGTTCCCACTGACTTCATTATGCCAGAAATGAGGCTTTTTAGAACCTGCATCCCAGATGATTTATCACAGCTCTCCCAGGATTTACAGATCTCGTGACTGCTTCAGAACCCCATGGGGGAAGTGGGCAGGCATCTTCAGGGGGTTGGCAAGTCTCATTTCCTTGGCAAAACAAAGCTGTTTGCTTATTATCTTCAAATTTAATTGTTGGCTTTTCATGGCTTCCTGCTTCCATTGCATCTCCTGGTCTTGCCAGTGGAAGGGTCGGTGTGCAGCTCCTCAAACTGCCTGCAGTAAAAGGGCTGATAAACTGTCAGCCCTGCAGAACACGCAGCACCGCTGAGGTTTTAAAAGGCTGATATTTGTTCCAAATGCAAATTTGTACAAAACAGCCCTTGGTCTCCTGAGCACAACTCTCCAAACCTCCTCCCAGGCACATGCTCAGATGGTGCTTGGGGAAGAGGGGGCTGTTTCTTATGGAGCAGGCTAATTACGAGGCAGATTTTATCAGCCATCTTTGCAAATTGGCCTCGAAATTGCCAGAACCCCAAAGTAGCATTAAAACTGCCTCCTAACACCAAAAATGAATTAGTTCAGTGCAGCAAGGAAGTCTGGAATGTTCTGAGACATGCCAAGTGCTTGGGACTTTGTGGAACCTGCTCCTAATAGTGGGGTTTTATCTCCACAGCAGATCTCAGAAATGAAGCTGATGGAGAGAGGCTTGGTGGCATTTCTGTATAAAAGCCAACAGACAATTCAAAGAGCCTCAGCTATTGCAACCACAACCTCTTCAGGTCTTTGCTGAGAAAAGCCATGCCCCAGTTTATGCAAAATCCTGACACTCATGCAAGAAAAACTACTCTGCATATTTTTTTTCCTTTAAAACATTAGTTCTTTTTAAATGGTCATGAGCTGCCACGGAGGAGCCTCTGTCATGTTCTGCTGTAGAGTCAGAGTCTAAAGGAAGACTTGAAACGGGCATCAGCTGGTGCTCAGCTGTGCTATAGGCATGGAGGAAGGTTGCTTTTGTTCTGATCACTTTATACTATTTATGTAGGATAAAGTGCTGCCCTGTTTTTACAGCCAAGGTAAATAGCTTTAGCAGACGTTCTTGCTGCTGCTTCTCTCAGTGTGCCTCCACCCATGAGTGATCTGAGTGCTGTGGTGCAGGGGTGGCCTTTGGATGAAGGTGCACAGCTCACCTGAGACCAGCTTTGAGCAGCAAGGGTGGCCCAAGGGGCATCTCTGCAGTTCTGGGGGCCAGTGGTTGCAGGTGAATGTGTTCTGCTCTGTGGTGTGCTGTGATTTGGACACCAGGCCATAGAATCACAGACTGGTTTGGGTTAGAGGGGACCTTTCAAGGTCATCTAGTCCAACCCCCTGCAGGGAGCAGGGACATCTACAGCTAGAGCAGGGTGCTCAGAGCCCCATCCAGCCTGACCAGGAATGTTCCAGGGATGGGGCAGTGACTACCTCTCTGGGCAACTTGGGCCAGGGGCTCACCACCCTCAGTGCAAAAAATTTCTTCCTTATATCTAGTCTAAAACTACCTTCTTTTAGTTTAAACCCATCACCCCTTGTCCTGCCTCCTTTTACTTAATTTGAAATTAGATTTTTAGGCCGTGCCTGCCTGTGTTGTCCTGAAGATTGCTGCCTGACCCAGAAAGGGGCTTGTGTTTTGGAGAGTAGAATTTTCTATCAAAGATTAGACACCAGAACTCACCTCTTTGGCACGTGGCCTTTTTCTGGGAGAGGGTAATCTCTCCTTGGCTTTCCTGGTGAATTTATTTCAGACCATCAACTGCTGGTTTCACCACAGGAAGGGGATGTCAGCAGTAACCATGGCCTTTCTAAACCTCTATTTAAAGAACAGAGGTTTGCCAGATCTGCTTGGTCAGCCTCCCTGCCCATCCTCTGTGCTGCCTGCCTCTGAACCTGGAGTCAGAGATGAGCCAGGATGATCCCACAGACTTCCACCCTGGCTCTGTGGCTCTCCCACCTCCAGTTTCTGTGGGCTGGTCAAACCAAGCCATGGATGGTTTGAATTTAGGGCTATTTTAGTATCAAAATGCCCATGCAGAGCTGTAAATTACTGCTGTCTTCCTAGAACTGCAGATAACATTTGCTACCAACTACTTCCTCTCCATCAGAATAAAATGGTTTTTTAAGTAGGGATAGGGTGAAGTATTTTGTTTGTGTTTTAGAGATGCTGGTTTAAGCCTTTTTTTCCTTTCTAATATCTTTTTAGATAGAAGGAGGAAAAATCTCATGTTCATTTGCTTGTCACATATTGGAATTTAGGTCTGGGGAAAGGAGAGGGTATTTATGACTTGAATTTCAGACTAAATTTACTGAGTTTGGGCACTTCATAGTGCAAGACCATTATCAGTGGTTTCAACCATCAATAACTTCTTTAGCCAGGCAAACTGAAAACTTGCTGGAAGTAGTATTGCTACTTGCAAAGCTATAAGTGTGCATAATACAGATATAGATGCAAAATTATGTCTAATACATACACATAAAGATATGTATGCACACACACCCCCCTATGATGCAGGTAGCATTCAGATTTCTTTCTCCAATTGGCACCAATTCACCACCACTCTCTGAAAATGGTAAGTTTTAAATAAATTTGCCATTTCCTTTGTCATTTTGCTAAGAAGATGGATAAAGAGCCAGCCAGATTTGTTAACTTAAACTTTATAAAAAGAAAAATATTTTCATGTAAGCTTAAAACGCCCATTTCACAGATTATACAACTCTGGTCTGTTGAATGAGGTAGAATTTCACTTTATCTTCTCAGATGCCTTTCCTCAAACAGCTCTTGCAGAATCTCACCTGAGTGAGCTGGGGCTGGGTGGGAACAAGAGCTATAACTCACTTTTCTTTCTTTCCCTTTTCTCCTCTTTAATGTTTCCAGGTTGCACCCACTACCCTGTGTCTTTGGGGAGTGGTAATGAATTGTGTAGCTCTCCTACTGTTTCACAGTGTGACCTTCAATACATTTCTGTGTCTCTAATGAAGTCTAGACCTTCTTTTTCTCTTGGGATTTCTGTCAGCCTTCAGGTCTGTTTTGAGGATCTGGATGCCAAGGGAGGACAGGGACCAACACCTGCAGTCAGGTGGCTGCTGTGGATCTCATCCTCTTCTGCTCTGCTGCTGCACAACAGGAGTTTCACAGGGTGCCCAGTTAATATGTAGCATCAAAATGCATTAGCAGTGTGCATTTGCAGCTTTGTCAAACCAGGAGTGAAAGATCTGGCAGGTCATTCTGCAAGCACATGGTAAAGCTCTAAGGGAAAGCATTTAATCTGATTTTACCCATCATTCATAATTGTCTCTGCTTGGAATGAGGTGGGCAGTGTAAATGGGCACCAGTTCTCTTCTAGACTGGATTTTCTCAATGCTGTTTCTTCTTTTTTCCTTTTTTTCTAATGTCTCTTTCCACTGCAGACAGGGCAATTCCCCTTCCCTATGAGGAGCTGAGAGCACTCAAAGAGGGCTTCAGATCCTGTGCCTTGAGATGCTCAGCCTTTGAGCAGTGATCTCTGTGTATCCCTAGCTGGGGATATGCCAGTCCTGAAACGTCACATTTCATTAATAAATGACTTCAGGAAAGGATTGAGAGAATGAATCCAAGTCTGGGAAGGAAGGGATGCCTTCCAAAGAAAGACTAAAGGCAGCCCATCAGAAAGAAAGTGGACAAGTCAAAGGGATCATGGTCTGCAAGCAGCTAAACAAGAGAATCACTTCTGGCAGGGGAACAGAGCTGCAGAGGCACAGGGAAAGGCAGAGCAAGATGCAGTGCTGAGAAGTGGGAGCAAAGCTCACTGGGATTGAGAGACCTATTGAATTCCTCATTACCTACAGCCTTTAAATCAAGACAGGATCAATTTATAAACCTGGATGTGTGGACTCGATACTAATGTTCTCAAACAGCTCCTTTCACAGGTTTTACACAGGAGACAGTTACTTTTTTTCTGCTCCTAATTGTGTGCTATAAAATTAGGGTCATTCCACAGGATAAGGGTTTGTTGGTTTAGTTTTTTTTTCTTTTTTCACCCTTTCATCCCCTCCCAACATTAGGGCTCTGTTCTCTGGGAGCTCTGGTGCCTTAATGGGCAAGTAATTTGTGTTTCCCACTGCTCCTCTGTCATCAGACTGACTCTGCTTGACCTTGCTGAGGGTGTCGTGTCCTGGCAGTGGACTGGAGACCAAACTACAATATCTTTGCTATGGAAAAATTTCCTAATATGTCTTTGTCACTTTTCAAAAGTAGAATCACAGATTTTTGGGAAAGATATGAAGTGGCTAGAGATGGAGTGAGAGGGGAGGATGTGTGACCTTTCATACTGATGCAAATTCCTTGTGGTTTAGGAGGCAAAATGATATATTTATTATGGTACAAACACAATATCCTGGGTTCCAGCAAAGTCCTTGTTTGGAAGACTCCTGGTGCTGAGCAACTTATGTGCTGCAGGCAACCTCAAACTTCACCCTCCTTATCAGCCAAGTGAAATAAAGGCTGAGGAGCAAGAGCAGAGTGTCTCCAGCCTACAAGGCAGCTGCACAAGTTCCTACCTCAGTTTCCTTATGTAATTTTTCTTCCTTTCCCCTTCTCTGCAGTACGTGGTCATTCCCACACGCCGTGCGACCGCAGTGGCCTTGCAGAGCTTCACTTCACACCTCCTGGGAGATGCTGGCAGTCCTTATCTGATTGGATTTGTAAGTGCTCACAGCAGGGTTTGGCAGGGTTGCTGCCCTGTTTGGGTTTGTTTACTAGCTGCTTATCTAAAATGCCAAGTTGAGCCATGCTGGAGAAGGCAGCCCTGGAGTTACTGGCAGAATGGGAAGTAGTGCAGAGCAGTGCCACTTTTTTCATACTTATGTTATCTGTGGGCAACAATTCAAACCTGGAAGGACCACTTGGGCATGAGAAGTGGGCTTCTAAATCTTTTTAGCCCAGGGCATTTGTAAAGCTTTTAGGCAGCTCTGTAAAGGGAGAGCAGTTGTTTCTGTGCTATGGACATAGGTCCGTTAGAAATTAGACTGGAACAAAGTCACGTGTGTTTAACTCTTAATCTGGTCTCATAAGCCCAAAAATATCTGTTTGTGGGTAGCAACATGCAGCTGCTCTGACCTGCTGGTATTTTGAACCTGTTTTTTATAATAATAAATGATGGTGTGAAATCCATGGCAGGATGGGTGTGTAGGCTTTGGGGTTTTTGTTAGTAATTTTTTCTGGTGTGTATGCTTTGGGTTTTTATTAGTAGTATTCCTTTCTCTTACTGCTGCAGTTGTTGGCCTTGATCTGATTGGAGATATCCTTTATTATGCCACCATTATCCTAGTGCAGAGCAAAACAACAGACCTTGCTCCCAAAGCTGAGAGTCAAAACATTCACAGACAAACATACAGTGAGGAAAAGAATTCTAGATCTACCAGAGCAGTTTATTTCCCTTGCACCCTTCTGTGCAGTTTGATGCACTGAGTTTCAGAGGCTCAGAGACACTCAGTTTCAGAGACAGATCATCATGTATACAGCAGAGTAGCTTCTGTGTAAAGCCCTCAGTGGCCCTGCTCATCTTGTGTTGAAGATGCTACAGTTTTCCAGTGAGGTAACTGAGATTGTCACTAGTCCCATCACCTGAAAAACAGAACTCCTGTGCTGTTCCAGCTCAGTGCTGCTGTGTGACACATATATTTATTTAGAGATATTTAATTTTGTGGGTATATATATTTCAATAGACATAAATATTTACTCTTGAATCCCAGCTCCCAAAAATTACCTAGTTGCTCTGTAGCCCTCTGAAGTATACATGAAAAGACAGATACAGATAAGGCTGAACAGACCAAAGAAATGAGAAATGTCTCAAGAGAATAAGGATGTACAATATGCCTTACTCTTTATTTACTTCAATGTTCTGGGTACCCAGGGAGGAACGATCATATTTTAGAAACTATTTGCAAGTGGCAAGAAGAAAGGAATCACTGGAAGAGGCTGCTTTGTGCAGGGCAGGTGATGTGGGGAATGTTGAGCAGGAGAGTGAAGTAAGCAGGCCAGGGAGCTTTGAAGGCAGGGTCTGAGGTGCAGATGAGGCTCTCAGGTGACCCTGCTGCACGTTCATTCTTTTTCTTACGTAACAGAGATGTCCAGGAGGACCCTGAGTGATTACAATTCATCTTGAAAGTTGCCTAGGGCTCTTCAGTGTCACAGATTAAAAAAAAAAAAGGATTTTAGTTGTAGAAAATAATGTGCCATGCCCTTCTGGTATTCAGAGATCAAGCAAGTTGTGAGTTACTTAAGGACGCCTGCCTGAAATATGCTTAACCCAAATTTAATAGCTGCCTAAGGCTTTCTTTAGACTGGGAATATATTAATTATGTTTTTGAATTACTCTTTTCTAATGCTATACTTGTTGGGCAGTTCTCACTTGGGAGGAGACTACTCAAGTGCAAGGCTCTGTGGCAGGAGAGCAGGAGTGAGGCACTCATGTTGTGGAAGGCACCAGCATCCATTTCTGTAGCCTCTGGACTGGCCTGCCTGACTCATGCTCCCTCTGCCACACTGACCCAAAGGTCAGCTGCAACTTTCACATAGCACAGAAAAACAAACACCATTTAAAGTGAAAGGACAGTCAGCCAGCTTCTGCAGCAGACCTCAGAGAAAGCATCAGGCTGATGGTTAAAACGTGCAGATATTTGTCATTGGATTGGTCCAGCTGCATTATAGGGTTGAGACCTTCATGCAGGGTTGAAATCTCACTTGGGCAGGCTGCAGAAATGACTTGGATTTTCAAGGCAGTTTAGGGGATCCAAGGAACCTACTCCTGTTGGCTTTAAGGGAAGTATGGAAAGCCTATAGTCCTTCTGGGAATCCCCAGCCTGAGGACACAGAATCACAGAATGGTTTGGGTTGGAAGGGACCTTAAAGATCATCTAGTCCAACCCCCAAATAACTCACACTGTGTTACTCTGGAGTTGCAGTGAAGCAGACATGAGCAGGGTGTAGGTCCTGAAAGAGAGAGGCAGAAGGCAGGAAAAACCAAAGGAGTAAAAGGTGTGCTCAGGATTGGTGCAGTGCTGATCACTGCTGGTCATTCAGGGTTCATCTGAGACCCTGAAGATCTGCCATTTCTACTGACTGCTTACAAAACCTGCCTGAAGCTCCTTCATTAAAGGAGTAATGTTTTGATCAGAAAAGGCTGGGATCTTACATGGTTTTGGTGTGTTCATAGTGAGATTCCCCCTAGCAGCGCTTTCGACAGCAGATCCCCATGTCCTTGTATGACTAAAGCTGTCACAGGCTGGATGCCAATAAATGTTGTATTGATCTACAACCCTCACGTGGGGTGTGGAAGGTACTAACAGCTGCAGCCTCCCTTGCTCTGTGCTGTGCCATAGGAGTTGAAGGTCAGACTCAGACATTTCTGTCCATCCCCCCCAATTCCAAATCCTGCAATACAGTTCCTTACAGTCACCCAAAGCACCAAATATTTGTTAGTGTTTAAAAGCTGAGTGAAAGGAAGGAAGCATGTCTGTGTGGTTATTTTTCATGTCTCTTCAAATATTGGTAACTTTTATTACAGTCAAAAGGTTTAAAGCTGACTTACAAAGGAGTTGTGCACATGCAGTTTTAGGGTGGCAGCTACAATCTGTGTGAGGCTTTGCTACCTGCCAAGCACTGAGATCAATCACTATAAATCAGTGCTGCCTGCTCATTCACAAATCAGAATAGGCATTGCTGCAGGATTTCATTAGATGAGACAGTTTTTCTTCCTGGGTGAGTGTAACTTTTTCAAGACCTTTGTGGTAACTTGCAGAGTTTAAATTATTCCTGTTTAACAACTTGGAGTATAACCCCATGCTATATTACTGAGGTACTTGGAGAGAAATTTCACCTGTTTGGTGCTTTACACCCAAGCATCTCTAGTGCTTCCCTGTCTTTGGAAGGTCCCACTGTGCAGACATGGTTGCTGAAGCACAGAGCAGTGAAGAGAAATACCCCAAATCCCACCACACATTGAGTATCAGATAAAGGTCTTCTAACTGCTCTTCGTGTGCCCCGAAACCTAGACAGCATTTCAGACTCAGAAGAGCTGAGTGGAGCTGGCAGCAGGATGTGGAACACAATTAATTCCTCTCAGGCTGCATCATAGCTCCAGCTCTTTGTATTATTAATTCTGGTTATATCTTTGTTGCCCTTTAAAATGAAATAATTGTAAGAAGTGCCAGTGAGCCTGTGCTGCTGTGTTCATCTGTGCACACACGTGCATGAACCTGTCTCCCCTACTCAGGGTTCACATTGTTCCTTCATGCAAACAGTGGTCTTCCCCCACGTCCTCTTTTGCTTCACAAAAACTAAGTACAGTGATTTTTTTTTTTTATCTTGAGTCTGTGTCTTAGTATTTTTTCTCTCCTGCCTCCAAGTCTCTCATTTGCTTCCTATCTGAGCACAGCAGAGCTCTCCTCCTCCATCCTCACCTTGCTTCTAGCCCTGGCAGTGGTGAGGATTGGCCACTTTGCTTCAGGCTTTGCTCTTTCTGCATGTGCTGCTGGGGGCACACTCTCTCCTTGCTGCTCTGGTGCTGCTGGCTCTCCTGTAGGCTTTATTCAGTTCTTTCCCATCTCCCCTGTGTGACCACCCATCAGGTCTAGGGATGGAGACCTGTCTGTGTCTGCTTGTCACCTGGCAACACCAGTGTGTGAGGAGGGTGTTTGAAAGTGCCAGAGACCAGCTCTCCCCCACCAGCCCCTTGTGATGGGCTAAGAGCAGCTCCCTGTGTTCCACTGGTGGTGATTCCCACCCACCCTGACCTCTTTGGCTGCTGCTGCTGCAGTTTTGCCTGAGGGACACAACCTCCAGCCACGCTGGCCAGGCAGCATCAGGAGAGTACCACATGGTCTGGCAACCAGGCTCTGTGAGAGGGGGGACCCTGAGGGCTCATCTGAGTGCTGGGGGTCCCACAAAAGCCCTGTCCCTCTCTGGCTGCATTCCCTGGATTGCAGGATCTCTGACAACCTCCTCTTGGCAAACCCCTGCCCCAGCACCAGGTGGGTTGGTGGTGCCCAGGCTGGGTCACCTGGCAGAGGAGATCCCAACTGTCCAAAGAGGCATCTTCTCTCTGCACAGCCTCCTGTGGGACAAGAGCTCTGGGCGACCTTGCAATTCATTGTAAGGAAATCTGAGCTGCTCTGTCTGAAGCAGTTTTGTGCCACTCCTGGTATTACTTGGAAAGATGTTAAGAATAAACCCATCACTTGTCACCCTCTATTTTCTCCTTTCTCCAACTTTCTTGTGTGAGTAGGTCGATAAACTAGATCTAATCAGCTGCTCAAGCAGCAAGAATAACCTTCCTTTAGCAAGTAGTTAGCAGAACAGTGTTAATTATCTCTGGTGCAGAGGATCGGTGAAGGCAGATCAGCATTTGATTAGGGGCAACTCAAGGAAAACTGTAGTAAATGCAGCATTTAAGGCACTTCTTTAGTGAAAGTTGTAGCTGGAGGAGTAGATTTCACAGCCTTGCCCCAGTTTGAGGTTCTAAAGTGTTTACCCATCCAAGTAAATGCACGTGTATGCAAAGCAGTTCTCTATGTAAAGACTTGCTTGCCTGAGGAAGCAGAATTCATGTGTTATTGGTTTAAATTCATATTTTAGGATTTAAAACATGTTTCTGTTTTAAATATAACTATATTTTTATGGACCATCAGGAAATACTCCACTGCTGTTGTGGGATTAAGGATGGAGCAGCAGCCTCTGTCTTGTGGCTCGTTGCAGCATGTTATATGTTCTAATATTTGTAGTGTCTGTGAGTGTGTCCAGGCAGCATCTTCCATCACCTGATGGAGATAGTGGCTGAAATGTGACACACATTTATGGGTTTTATTGTTCTTTCTTTCCCAAGTGCCAGCTGCCTGGCTGGTGTTCCATAGCCCTCATGGCATTGCTGCTCCTGTGGAGGTCTCCCCCCACATTCATCTTCCATGTGACCCAGACTGTGGTGGGTAAGCTGGGACTTGCCCCTGGGGTCCCACATCTGAGGAACATGAGTCAGGGAAATCCTGTGAGGAAGAGAGCCCCCAGCCCCTCAACGTTTTCATCTGTTTCTTCAAGCAGTGACTTGAAGTTGAGCTTTTCTCTGATCCTGGCTGAGCTGAGTAATTAAAAGCCTTTATCATAGTGCACAGAAAGGCCAAATCTTTGACATGCTTGTCAGCTGCAAAAAAAACAGGGAGCATTAAGCACCTGGAGAGCAATCCACGTAGGATTTATCTCCTCACTGCAGCGAGCTAACAAGCATCCCACTTCTGATGACTCAGCAACAGATAAGATTTAAATCTGCCCTAAAAACCCAAATGACTTCCCATATATAAACCACTCTTTGCCAAGGGTTCACAGCCTGTTCTGGTTTTTCTCCAGAGCTGCTGTTCTCCTGCCATTCTCTGTGACTTTGGTTAGAAGTGCAGGTTCTCATTATTTCTGATAAACAGACATCTAAATTATGTAAAAGTGTCTCATTAAAGAAAGCCCAGAAATCCAGAGCTGATCATTGTTTCACTCCAAATGTTTCAAGCTCTGTCCCATCTGCTCTGTCACTTCTGGGCACTAAAAATCTCACTCAATAAGTGGCTTCTTCTGTGAGCTGCTGTAGACAATAGTCATAGACATACAAAGTCAAAGTCATCACAGGCTGGTTTGGGTTGGAAGGGACCTTTCAAGGTCATCTGGTCCAACCCCCTGCAGGGAGCAGGGACATCCCCAACTAGAGCAGGGTGCTCAGAGCCTGTCACCAGCCAAATTCCATTTGTTTGTGATCTCAAAAGGACACAATTAAAATCAACACCATGTGTTGCTTATTTTTTTTTCCTCCAACACCCAACCCTGCCAAGGTTAAAACTGAAATAACTTTTAGGCTATAATTGTTTTTACCTTTCTGCATTTTTCTGAATAAATATCATAAAATAGTCAGGTTTACTTCCTCCTCTTGGAACTTGCTTCTCATGCTGTTTAGCACAGTATAAATGCTCGTGCTCCCCCACAGGCCCAGCAAATGGATTATTTTTACTTTATAAAATCCCTTATTTTTGTTTTCTAGTCTTCATTTGCATTCATATTAGGGTTTTAAAAAAATAAATAAATAAAAAATCACAGAAGCCTTTCGCAGGCATCTCTGAATTCAAAGTGGATGAAGCCCTCTGGGGTTCTGTCACCACTGTGGTGACACTGTGGGCTCACAGGCAGTCCTGTGTTAAGGAGCTGCACTGCAGAGAGGAGCCAGGGAGAACCTGGCTTGTATCAAACTGGTAACCCTGAAAATGGGGTGTTTGTGCCAGGCACTGCAGTGGAAATACCCTTTTATGTAGCAAGATCTGTGCCCAAGAGGCACTGTCAGAAATTTGGAAAAATCAAGCAGTTGCAGAAGGATGGAGATGTTTGACTGCAAGAAGACAGAGTAGATGAAACAGTGATTTCAAAGATATTGTTGCAATCACATTGTCTAATTAGTTATTGGTTTAATTTACCTGCTTGTGCTGTTCAGGAGGGATGGTCACACAGAATCCAGCCATCCTCCCAGGGCTTCAGCCCAGCTGAGCTTTTCTTACCCCAGCAGCCTGTCCAGCCTTCCAGAGCACACAGCTCATGCCTCCCAAGAAAAGCAAGGAACTTTCCTACTTTTCCTTCATTGTCTTCTGCACTCAGCATGAGACCCAGTCAGAACCTGGGGGGTTTGGAGCGTGCCTGCTGGCTGCTGCACTGTTTGTTCTCCAGAAAGTGGGCATTTTTTTCTGGCTGGACTCCATCCAGCTGGCTGCCAGCAGCTGAATACTGGTCATTTGTATTCTGTTGTAAAAATGCCAGGAGCTGAAGTTTATTTAGCCAAGTCATTCCTCTTGGTCTGTGCCACACAGTGGGGGAAAGAAGACGTGAACTTTCAGAGCCAGGATGTTATCAAACAGTTTTTGATGAGGCTGCAAAGCAGCAGCAGGACCTCCCTATTGATTTGCCACTCCCACATTTGGGGGAAATGTTTTGCAAGGTTTTTTTTTTGCCACCTCCCAATTGGCAGAAGAAAGAAAGGAATCCCACACAGGGCTCCATGCTGGAGAACTGGCACTGTTCACAAACACACACCCCCTTTTGGTTACTCAAGATAGAGAGAAGACACCAAATATGATGCTGGGCTGGGTCTTGCCCAGTCTCAGTTGGACGGCTGAGGATGGTGTCGTTGTGAGGAGTCTGGGAAGCCAGACATTGGCAATGCAGAGTGGACCATTTGGCACACAGTATGTCATTCTTGGAGCTCAGGCCTGTAATTATGTCCTGTGTCCTCTTCAGAGGAGATGCCAAAGTTCCACTCTTAGCAGGTGGCTCGTAACTGAGTAGAACAAAACAACAGGGAATAGTGACTGTGAAGTTAACAGCAAAATAAGTGTGGGGCTCAAAAAAGTCCTGGGATTAAGAGAAGCTGGTATGGTGAGGGGATTGTATGAAACCTAGATGAGAAAGCCCAACTGCTGATGGGAAGGATTGGCCCTTGGCTGGAGGAAACATTGCTTAGAAACACTTAGAGAATATGCTGGGTTAAAGATGAAGGAGGCAGCAGATTCAATATTAGCAGGATTTGTTGGTATAAAAGGTCAGCATGATGCTTTAGAAGGGAAGGTGTGGGGCAAGCTGCAGTGGGAGTTTTATTTGTAGGAGATTTTACATTTTCCAAGCTGGTTTTAGCCTAGGATGTCATGTCACCCATAAGAGAAAGCAACTGGGAGTGCAGGCCTGGCTTCTCATCCTCTGCTGCTGATGTATGGTGTCAATTTGTCAAGTGATTGATTGTCTGCTCCTTCTGGAGGATAATTGTATCTATTCCCAAAAATGAAAAGTGGTTTAGAATTTCTAAATTTCTATTTTAGAACAGCCTCAATCCTGGCTGTTGCACACAGAGGGGCTGGTTCAATGCCAGATTTGGGTTCCTAATGAAGAGTAAGGGAATTGTTAGGAATTAAGGTGTCTGGATACAAGAAGGAATAAATGACCCACCGTTGTCCCTGTCTTCTGGGTGCAGGGCATGTTCTGCTCATCTCCTGGGGCTGCTTTCTTTTCACATCCATGTCTCTTTGCTATTTTTTAATAAGTCTCTCAGACTAATAGCCACAGTTGTCTGCCTTCAGCCTAAGGACTTTTTAAACCATCATTTCTCACATGAGACTAGTTCCTAACACTCTTGGTTTTCCTGTGTGTGAATAAAGTTCTCTCTGAGAGGACAGAAATAGCCTTATCCATATCCCAAGCACTGGAATTTTCTCCTCCTCCTTTCTAAGGCAGAGAAATCTGGCTAAAAACCTGGAGTTCTTTCTTTAGGTACACTCTTCCACCAGTGGTCCAGATCCTCCCTGCTAAAGCACGGTGTGTGGCCTGTTGAGTCCCCACCAGTGTCACCCTTCTGTGACCTCCTGGCAGCTCCTCACAGCACGTTCACCCTCCAGGTCCCTCCAGCTGGCTGCAGGGCTGGGAACTGGTGATTGCTCCTGTGGGTGACATTTCCTCACTTCCTCCCCAAGATCTAAGCCTCAAAGGTGAGGTTTGCCTGGAGTTTGTGTCCAGCACCAC